TTGATACGCCATTACTTGGCTCACACTCTTGGCACACTAACGCTTTCAGCACTAACACTGAGCACTGGCAAACTGTCGGCACCGACAAACATGGACGTGTGTCAGCTTGACGTAGAGTCGTAGGTGATGCTACTACGTAAATGCATTTTTTCACGTATACCGTTATTTCATGATACGTAATCCGACTTAATATTAATATATAATAAATGGAAATCTCCTTAGTAGACACTAATCTGACTTTTCCTGTAGCTTCCTATATACACACATACAGAAACCTTACCACATTTGTCTCCCCTCACTACAGATTTGTCTCCTTGCTATTCATTTCTACTCCTTAGTATCTATTTATGTCGCTCTATCACACGTCTGTCTCCTGCACGTGTCTCTTCCTTTACTGTGTTTGTTTCCCTATTACCCACCTGTGTTTCCATACTGAAAGAAAAAGTAGAAAAACTGTATATGGTTTTAACTTCTCTGCTGTTGAAAGATACCATGTAAATGGTTGCTTCTAAGTGGTCATGTTCGTAATTATATGGGACATGAACAAACAAATTTTCTAATTTCCTCTTAATCGATCTGTTAAAATACATTTTTATTAAGGTTATATAGCTCGGAAATTATGTACATCAAAACATTCACTGTTAAAAGTAACGCCACCCACATCTCAAGATTTTAAACATCTTAATAACTTTAAATAAAATGGTTAAGATTTTTTACAAAAATATAAATAAATAAAAAACTGTATAGCTCTGCCTATGAATGCCATGTTCATCGTTCTTCCTCGGCTGCCATCCGAGTAAGAGAGTAAGTGCCAAGTAGTCTGGATTAAGTGATACGATTAAATACCGCGTCAGAAAACCGTCCTGTTTTGTTTGTGGCATTCATTTGTCTCACTGTGTTAGTTGCGAGCAGCAACAACTCTACGCACCAGAGTACCAGCAGCAACAGCTCTACGCACCAGAGTACCAGCAGCAACAGTTCTACGCACCAGAATACCAGCAGCAACAGCTCTACGCACCAGAGTACCAGCAGCAACAGTTCTACGCACCAGAGTACCAGCAGCAACAGCTCTTCGCACCAGAGTACCAGCAGCACCAGCTCTTCACGCCAGAGTACCAGCAGCACCAGCTCTTCACGCCAGAGTACCAGCAGCAACAGCTCTGCATATCAGAGTACCAGCAGCAACAGCTCTGCATATCAGAGTACCATCAGCAACAGCTCTGCATATCAGAGTACCATCAGCAACAGCTCTGCATATCAGAGTACCATCAGCAACAGCTCTGCATATCAGAGTACCAGCAGCAACAGCTCGGCTTATCAGAGTATATCAGAGGTGAGTACAATTAGGTGAGTACACACACACACACACGTGTGTGTGTGTGTGTGTGTGTGTGTGTGTGTGTGTGTGTGTGTGTGTGTGTGTGTGTGTGTGTGTGTGTGTGTGTGTGTGTGTGCGTGCGTGCGTCTAATCGACATGTGCCTAGGACAATATGGTAACTAATACGTATAGTATGCAAAATCATGGAGAATATTATCAGAAGAGTAGTGGAGCACCTAGAAAGGAATGAGCTTATCAACAACAACCAGCACAGATTCAAGGACGGAAAATCCTGTGTCACAAACCTATTGAAGTTCTATGATAAAGTGACAGCAGTAAAACAAAAATGAGGGGTGGGTAGATTGCGTTTTCCTGGACTGTAAAAATACTTTTGATACAATTCCACACAAAAGACTAGTGTAAAAGCTGGAGGACCAGGCAGGTATAATAATGAAGGCACTGCAAAGGATCAGAGAACACCTGATGGGAAGGTAACACAGTCATGGTACGTGACGAGGTGTCAGTGGGCGCCTGTGACGAGCGGGGTTCCACAGGGATCCGTCCTAGGACCGGTGCTGTTTCTGGTATATGTGAATGACTTGATGGAAGGAATAGTTTCAGAAGTGTCCCCATTTGCTGACGATGTGAAGTTAATAAGGAAAATTCAATCGGAGGAGGACCAGGCAGGACTACAAAAGGATCTGGACAGACTACAGGCCTGATCCAGAAACTGTTCCCGGAGTTCAACTCGACCAAGTGCAAAATCATGAAGACTGGTGAAGGGCAAAGAAGACCGCAGACAGTACAGTCTAGGGGGCCAAAGACTACGAACCTGCCTCCACTACATCACTTCTCGATTGTTCCCCTTCCTGACAACTCTATGGCTGAAGAAATACTTCCTAACATCCCTAAGATTTATCTGGGTCTTTAGCTTCCAATTGTGACCCCCTTGTTGCTGTGCCCCATCTCTGAAACATCCTGTTTCTTCCCACCTAGTCAATTCCTCGGTTTTATGTCGTTATCATGTCTCCCCTATCACTTCAGTGTCGTCAGGTTGATTTCCCTTAACCTCTCCTGGTAGGACATACCCTTAGTTTCGGGACTAGTCTTGTTGCAAACCTTTACACTTTCTCTAATTTCTTGATGTGCTTGACCAGGTGTGGGTTCCATACTGGTACTGCATACTCCAATATGGGCCTGACATACACCGTGTACAGTCTTTGAATGATTCCTTACTCAGATGTCAAAATGTTATTCTTAGGTTTGCCAGGCGCCCATATGCTGCAGCAGTTATCTGGTTGTGTGCTTCCGGAGACGTGCTCGGTGTTATGCTCACCCCAAGATCTTTCTCCTTGAGTGAGGTTTGCAGTCTTTGGCCACCTAGCCTATACCCTGTCTGCGGTCTTCTTTGCCCTTCTCCAATCTTCACGACTTTGCATTTGGCAGGGTTAAATTCGAGAAGCCAGTTGTTGGACCAGGTGCTCAGCCTGTTCAGGTCTCTTTGTAGTCCTGCCTGATCCTCATCGGATTTAATTCTCCTCATTAACTTCAAATCTGCGAACAGTGACACTTCTGAGTCTATCCCTTCCATCATGTCTTTCACGTATACCAATACCAAAAATAGCATTTTTCCTAGGACTAACCCCTGTGGGACCCCGCTCGTCACAGACGTCCACTGTGATACTCATCACGTACCTTACCTCCCTGTCAGGTATTCTCTGATCCACTGCAGTGCCCTTGATGTTGTATGCGCCTGATCCCCCAGCTTCTGCACTAATCTCTTGTGTGGAACTGTGTTGAAGGCCTTCCTGCAGTCCAGGAAAATGCAATCAGCCCACCCCTCTCTCTCATGTCTTACTTCTGCTACTTTGCCATTAAATTCCAGAAGGTTTGTGACACAGGATTTACCTTCCATGAATCCATGCTGGTTGTCGTTTATATTCTTGTTCCGATTCAGGTGCTCCACCACTCTCCTCCTGATAATCTTCTCCATGACTTTTGTTTGTGTGTGAGAGAAAGAGAAAGAGAGAGAGGAGGAGAGAGAGAGGAGGGGAGAGAGAGAGAGGAGGGGAGAGAGAGAGAGGAGGGGAGAGAGAGAGAGGAGGGGAGAGAGAGAGAGGAGGGGAGAGAGAGAGAGGAGGGGAGAGAGAGAGAGGAGGGGAGGAGAGAGAGGAGGGAGAGAGGGAGGAGGGAGAGAGAGAGAGGAGGGGAGAGAGAGAGGAGGGGAGAGAGAGAGAGGAGGGAGAGAGAGAGAGGAGGGGAGAGAGAGAGAGGAGGGAGGGGAGAGGAGAGAGGGAGGAGGAGAGAGAGAGAGGAGGGGAGAGAGAGAGAGGAGGGAGGAGAGAGAGAGAGGAGGGAGGAGAGAGAGAGGAGGGGAGGAGAGAGAGAGGGGGGAGAGAGAGAGGAGGGGAGAGGAGAGAGAGGAGGGGAGAGAGAGAGGAGGGGAGAGAGAGAGAGGAGGGGAGAGAGAGGAGGGGAGAGAGAGAGGAGGGGAGAGAGAGAGGAGGGGAGAGGAGAGGAGGGGGAGAGAGAGAGGAGGGAGAGAGAGAGGAGGGGGGAGAGAAGGAGGGGGAGAGAGAGGAGGGGAGAGAGAGAGGAGGGGGGAGAGAGAGGGGGGGGAGAGAGAGAGGAGGGGGAGAGAGAGGAGGGGAGAGAGGAGGGAGAGAGGAGGGGGGAGAGAGAGAGGAGGGGAGAGAGAGAGGAGGGGAGAGAGAGAGGAGGGGGAGAGAGAGAGGAGGGGAGAGAGAGAGGAGGGGAGAGAGAGAGGAGGGGAGAGAGAGAGGAGGGGAGAGAGAGAGGAGGGGGAGAGAGAGAGGAGGAGGGAGGGAGAGAGAGAGAGAGGAGGGAGAGAGAGAGGGAGGAGAAAAGGGGGGAGAGAGAGAGGAGGGAGGGGAGAGAGAGAGAGAGGAGGGGAGAGAGAGAGAGAGGAGGGGAGAGAGAGAGAGAGGAGGGGAGAGAGAGAGGAGGGGAGAGAGAGAGGAGGGGAGAGAGAGAGGAGGGGAGAGATATTAGGGAGGGAGGGATGACTAGTCTGGAACATGTTTGTACATCAACGAGATAAAGTCAGTTGATCAAATGAAAATGTTGGCACACAGATGGCTCCAACTTCATCCTGTTCCCTACTTGCATGTTTCATAACAATAAAAATGCTTTCAAATGAGCTGATGTAGGTAACAGCTCTTAGCTTGTCAATAAAGTTAGGAATCCTTAACTTGTAAATAGCTTGTCAATAAAGCTAGGGATCCTTAACCTAACCTTGTCAAGCCCTGTGGAGAGAGAGAGAGAGAGAGAGAGAGAGAGAGAGAGAGAGAGAGAGAGAGAGAGAGAGAGAGAGAGAGAGAGAGAGAGAGAGAGAGAAATGAGTTCTTGAAAGGCAATGCTAACGTGGGCCAGTGCAGGAAGCTAATTCATTGAAGCGAAGTAAGTAAAAGTGCTTGCACACTTGTAACATTGCACACAAAACTTGTGCGCTAAGGTTATCATCATGATTGATTTCTGCTGCATCTTATAGCTAAGCTTTAAATAAAAAGATTTTACAGGGACCCTAACAAAAATAAGTCACGTTGTCTGATTTTATCCGGGGTCATCCTAGGTAATTTACACATATATTTTACTATGCGAAATAATTGTAACCACCTAAAATTATATAACTGCTTGTGTACCTGTATCTAAATACACTTACCTGTCAGTGACCTCACAGTAGTATCCTATATGGCACTCGGAGCGCTGTATACATGAAGAAGGACACAACAATGAGATGCAACTCCCATGTCGCGAATGTTAACCTTAGAGCGTTTAATGTTCACTCCCCGAATGTGGTCGAGTCTGACCTGCCTTCACCTGATACACAACACTGAGCAACTGATGCATACCCACCAGATACCACTTTCTAATTTTGAGAACAAATTAATTTTCAAGTATTTACCATGATATTTAATCAATTAACACGTTTCGATAGTTTTGTACCTTTTTTTTTTATTGATCTACAAATATAATGCTTGGATTGAAACCTCAAGCACAATGAAATTTTATATTGATTATTTTGTGTCCATATCAGAAAACGTTTCAGGCAAATAATACTATAGAAAACTTAGTAGACCAAAGGTAAACCAATATATTCAGTGGTTGTGCACATGCACGCTGCACAGCCCTCAAAACACTCACCTCAAGCTTCCTAAAAAGACAGGTGTGGGGCCAGATTTAGGCATACGCTAAACAAGTCACAGCTAAGGACATTTCAGTTTGAAGGGGCCTCTCAAAATGTCAATATTTAATTCTCATTTCCTTATGACTAGATCCACAGCTGAACCCATAGTTCATACACTTCTTACATAAATTATCAACAATATTTTTATTTTTTTTCATAAAGTTTAATATGGATCTGTTGTATATGTTCCCCATCAGTAAAATGGGTACCTGGGTGTTAGTCGACTGGTGTGGATCGCATCCTGGGACACTGACCTAAATTGCCCGAAATGCTGAGCATAACTAGGGGTTTCCTATATAGCAGTATGTCATTGTTGTCAGTTAGGACTGTATACCATGTACATGTACTTGTAGTAAATAAAGATATTATTATTATTATTATTATATTATTATTAAACTGATTAACCCTTTCACTCCTCCACTGGTTGTTAGGCAAATCGGTGGAATTCTTGCCAGATTCAGTTCTTGCCTATTATTACAGTCATAGGAGGAGTGCTAAACTAGTGTGGGGTCATACGGGGTCATATGGGGTCATACATTACTAACAGGTATCAGTACGTCACCATTAAAGACACAGCATCAACAACACGGCCACTTGATACTGGAGTTCCGCAGGGAAGTGTCCTTGGTCCCCTGCTCTTCCTCATATACATCAATGACCTTCCAAACGTATCCCAACACCTAAAACCCATTATCTTTGCTGATGACACGACTTTTGTCATCTCTCACCCTAATCTTGCCACCCTCAACACCATTGTGAATGAGGAGCTGATTAAAATATCGACTTGGATGACAGCCAATAAACTTACGCTTAACACTGACAAAACCTACTATATTATGTTTGGTAGCAGAGCAGGAGATGCACAAATTAACATTAAGATTGACAAGACTCTAATTACCAGAAATAATGGGGGAAAATTCCTAGGCTTATACCTTGACAACAACCTGAATTTCAGCACCCATATCCAGCATATAGCCAAAAAAGTATCCAAAACGGTTGGGATCCTCTCCAAGATACGATACTTCACTACGTGCCGCAAAATGCCCTTCTCACACTATACCACTCATTTATCCATACCTCACCTATGCTATTTGTGCTTGGGGATCAACTGCAGCAACACACCTAAAGCCAATAAAACCCAACAAAAAGCTGCAGTAAGAATAATCACTAAATCCCATCCCTGGCAACACCCCCCCCCACTCTTCATAGATCTAAACTTACTCCCAGTTCAGTACATCCACACTTACTACTGTGCAATCTACATCTACAGGGCCTTAAACTCTAATATCAACCTTGACCTAAACGCTTTCTTGATAGTTGTGACAGAACCACAGGCATAACACCAGACACAAACATCTCTACGACATTCCCCGTGTCCGACTAAACCTTTACAAAAATTCAATGTATGTCAAAGGCCCTAAAATCTGGAATACCCTACCTGAGAACTCTAGAACTGCAGACACATTCATCACCTTCAAAACTACCATTAGAAAACATCTTATCTCCCTGATACACCCTGTCAACTAACTACACGAATACCACCTGGTGGTTCACACTTACACTCACTCACTCATTTGACCATAAACAGAAATATTAATCTCAGTCTTAAAATAATGAATCCTGTGATACTCCAATACTGAAACTATGTACTGTGCCAAAACAAAAGCATTCACATTGCTAAACTCACAAACTAGTATTTAGTCACTTAGCCATAATACCAACTTACCTCATAATTTGTAATATTTTACAATTAAGAATAAAACTAAGTATGACCGAAATGCCTAGCCATGCTAAGCGTTCTAGTGGTACACTCTGTAATCACAATTTTACTACATGTAAACCAAACAATAACCAAATTTCTGTAAACTCAGCATTGTAATCCTTATAGAGAATAAACTTTGAATTTGAATTGAATTTGAATAGGAGTGGGAGGTATTTAGATTCAATCCAGTGAAGGGAAGCACAGATCCAGCGTTGTTACACAACCTTATTCTCTGTTAACACCTTCCAAATACAGCCTCTACAACTTCCCATAGTTTAGGGCCTCACCATGCCTAAATCCGCCCCTGGGGGTAGATACTTTGATCCCAAGTAACTGAAGCTACTCTTCCCTTTCTTGGATCAAACCTGATTACCTCTCATTTCCTTGGCGCTGTATGACCTCCCAATGTTTTAGTGGTTCCCCATGAATAATAAAATAAGACACCCCTTCATTCTCTACTAGTTAAAGAGCAGTGTGGGGAAAATAGTGGTTCCCCATGAATAATAAAATAAGACACCCCTTCATTCTCTACTAGTTAAAGAGCAGTGTGGGGAAAATAGAACAGTATAGTGATAAATATAGTGACTAGGATAGTAAAGCTATTTATTTTAATACCTTTGGTAACTTATTCTTGGTCCCCTACGTCAGATTTGCTTAAACAAGTTTATTTGGGAATAATTACACATATATACAATGAAACAAGTTCTGGGTGATTACAATTGTCTTACATAATAACATATGGATAAATTACCAAGGATAACCCCCCCAAAATATCCAAAGTAACTTATTTCCCTTGGAGTTCCTTGTAATACATTACTATTGGCACCCTAACTATTAGATGCAGGAGTAATCAGTCATGATTATAACCACACAAATGAAATGAGCTAAATCAATCAACTGCATGAACTCAGTCACAATAAAATGAGTTACAATAGGGATAACATGAAGTGAGTAGTTTACATGAACATTAGAGAAACTCAGCTTAATAACGTTAACTTTACAAAGAATCACTCTTCTTTTCTGTAACTACATTCGTTAGGAAGCTATTAGCTCTCTTCCTGAACTGGTTCATATTAAGACTGATCTTGACATGTTCAGGTAATTCGTTCCACTCCTTTACTGCTGTGTAATAAAAAGTGTTTGATGCCTAACAACCTACTGTAGGCACTACAAAACTGCTCATATCCACTAGACCAATACTGATTTTGGTTCCTAACCTTGACCAAAATTTGCAGCAAGACACTCTCGACACTTGCCAGCAACTTCTTAAATATGATTTAGTTTCAGATGCCTTACTCTATCGTCAACATACAGCAATTCCAGTTGTTGTAATTCATCTTGGCCTAGGTGTTCTCTTGGGCCCAGGTTCAAGACGAATTTTGCCATCTTATTCTGAATAATATTGAGGGGAATGTATTAGAGTATAGTTATATCAACACTCTTATATGGGTGCAAGGCATGGGTGATGAATGTTGCAACAAAGAGAAGGCTGGAGGCAGTGGAGATGTCATGTCTGAGGGCAATGTATTATGTGAAAATAATGCAGAAAATTCATAGTTTGGAAATTAAGAGAAGGTGCAGGATTACTAAAAATATTATTCAGAGGGCTAATGAGGGATTGCTGAGGAGGTTCGGGCATGTAGAGAGGCTAGAACAAAATAAAATGACTTCGAGAGTGTATAAATCTGTCGGGGGCGTTGAACCCCGGAACTCTCTCCAGGTAATATATATATATATATATATATATATATATATATATATATATATATAAAATATATATATATATATATATATATATATATATATATTATATATATATATATATATATATATATATATATATATATATATATATATATATATATATATATATATATATATATTATATATATATATATATATATATATATATATATATATATATATATATATATATATATATATATATATGTATATATATATATAATCATTATAATACTTTCATGCAATTATTTCTTTATACAGATTGACAATTAAAAAATGTAGCACTTTCCACATGTTCCCAGAGGGAAATATAATAAGCTCGTAGTTGTGGAAGCTCAGGTTGTCAACACGGTGGTCCATGTGCTACCCAGACCTCACATCAAGACTCACTCAGTATATATAAGCAAACTTACATCTTTAATTACATCCTTCTTTGAGACTTTGAAAATGCAGAGTGACGACGTAAGTTATTTTTCTTTGAGTTAAATAGTTTTTAGGAGGACCTGTGCCAGATCTAGGTACGCTTAAATTTTTGTTTCATTTTCACGAGGAATAATTAAATCTGTAAGGGGTGAGTTAGCTCCTGGGGAATGGGAAACATTCAGGTTCGATCCAAAGAAGGGGAGATTAAGACCAGTTCCTTGGATCAAGAGCGCTTCACCGAATTTTTTTTTAGATTTTGCCACCGAAGTGGCTAGTTTATTGTGCACTCCATATCCATCCTGTGGACGGTAGCGCGAGAGCATATGGATACACAAAAGGCCCAGGAACTAGGCCCCAAAGGGTTAACTGGAATACATATGGATTTATATCTACATATCTATAGTTCACTTATCTGTTATAAGCAAATTTAGGAAATTTGCTTAGTATATCACCGGCATCAGGGAAGTTGGGTTAAGATGTTAACTACTTGTATCCTCTTACCTAACATATTGTTGGTGATTCTACCAACATTACAGTGTTACCTTAGTTTTGTTCTCCCTTTAGGGGAGTTGCTGGTGCAGGGCTCTTGATCAGAGGAATTGAGGTTACTCTCCCCTGACTCGGATCAAGACTGATTACCCCCCTACCCCTTATTTCCCAGGCACTGTATGGTCCCTAGGGTTTTAACTAATAATACCAGTAATTTTTATTTCTACAAGTACATAATACAATTATTCCAGACCTAGCTGACATCATTGGCATAATATATAAAAGCCCCTGATTATACAGATCATTTTGGGCAACGTAGGTTCTCTTGTCCCACAGGATGCGACCCACAATAGTCAGCTAACACCCAGGTACTTATTTACTGCAGGTTGAATAGGGGCAGCAGGTGTGAAAAAGCATGCTAACATTTTGCATGTGCTGGAATCCTGGACCCTTCAGTGTGTGAGCTGAGGATGCTATAAGCCAAGCCATGAGTACCCCCATGATTTAATTAAAGTACAAATAGTGGTAAAATTACAGAAAGTACGTTTGGAAAAAGGTCAAAAAATAAATTAATGAGTTGGGTTAAATTCTTTTTTCTTTTTTTTTTTTTTTTTTTACATTTCCGCAAATAAAAATCATCTCGGATACACATCCACATCAGTTTTGGAAGCTTTATGACATTTTTGGAACTTTGAGTAAAACAGTTTAGCATAATGTTTGTGGTGGTTATTATGCTATTCAAGCATAAATACAAATTCAAATCTATATTTCAGCATTACTGGACAAAATTTGCAATAATCTGAAGGCCCATAGAATGCATAACATTTCAGGAAATCTTAGACTATACTGTACTTAGAATTTACATAAAATTTATTTGGATTTTTAACCCAGAGGATTGGCGGCCCAAGAAAGTCAGTGCATCATCAGGGACTGTCTTGTCTTATTTCCATTTAAGGTCCTTTAATCTTGTCCCCCAGGATGTGACCCATACCAGTTGACTAACACCTAGGTGCCTACTTACTGTTAGGTGAACAGGGACAGCAGGTGTAAGGAAACATGCTAGGTGAACAGGGACAGCAGGTGTCAGGAAATATGCCAGGTAAACAGGGACAGCAGGTGTAAGGAAACGCCCAACATTCCACCCATGCTGGGAACTGAACGACGGAAATTCAGTGTGTGAGGCGAGTGTGTTGCTAACTGAGCCACGGGACACTGTTAAATTGATTTTTTCTAAAAGGGTCATGATATTAGTAGGAACTTAGAAAATAGATACAGGTAACAAGTTAATTTGTAAAGTAACACAGTTAAAGATATAATTGTCTGGTTCTAACAGGGTGTAGTACCAGTTAATTAAATTACAATACAAAATATAAGATATGGTACATATATGTTCTGAGAGTTATTTATGCAGATATGTATATAAGAAGTAGGTACAAAGAAAATACTATGTAAAATTATCAGTGCAATAGCTAGTTATGTCTGAAAGAAGGGAGTGCAGGCTGTCTAATTATACATACATGGGAGTTGAAAGAAATTGCTGAAACAAGAAGAACAGTGATGGGATTGGATGAAAACAAGCAATTTTCAGAATTTGTTTAACATTGTGTTGTATATTACTGTCAAGAATCACGTTAAGGTAAGGTGCATTATCACAGTAGCTTTCAACCTTTGCAGTCTTCAGGCAGAGAGTTCCAAATTTTAGGGCCTTTTACACGCATTGAGATTTTACTTGGGTTGAGCCTTGTATTATGCCTAGGAGTTGTACATCAACTTTTTGTTGAGTTATGTTTTCCTGTATACTTTCTAAATTTAAATTTTTCATCTTGAATCCATTGCTTTGAGTCCTGTCTTGGTTAGATATTTTTAGCATGTTCTTTATATCCTCTTTGTTTATTCCTGTCTTCAATTTATACACCTTAGTTATATCCCCCTAATTCTATGCCTTTTTAGAAAGCATAGATTCAGTGCTCTCAGTCTATCGTTGTAGAAAAGATTTCTGATACATAGGATCAGCTTTGTCATCGTTCTTTGTATGTTTTCCAGTGCATTTTGTCCATTCAGTAATATGGTGACCAGAACTGCTAAGCACGATCTAAACAAGGCCATAACAACAATAGCATATAGAGCTGAAGTATAACCTGAGGACTCTTGTTAATATATGAAGCCAAGAATTCTATTAGCTTTATTGCGAACACTTGTGCACTGTTGTCTTGGCTTTAGGTTACTACTAACCAGAACTCCTAAATCTTTTTCACATACAGAGTGATTGAGATCTACATTATTAAGGTTATAAATGCCATCATTTTGAACCCTTCTCTTGATTTTCTTGACATGTAAAATTTTCTAATGGTACAGTGACACTAGTGCAGTGAGAAATGTTTTGCATCATTGCATTAAACTGTTGATACAGTTTCACACATTTGACAAACTGTAACCATAATATATCTTAATTTTTACCTCTCTTTTCAGATTACATGGAGTATCATAAACAAAACATTTTGTTCTTTTAAAATCCAGTAAGTAAACAGTGTTTAACTTCAATTCTTTTTCATAAAAACTTTACATTTCATTATTGTACATATGGTATAAGAGTTGGTACAATATTTTCATTTAATGTTTGCTTGTATTATATCTTAATGTTATACATAAACAGGGATTCAGAATCTAATACATTTTTTATTTTTTTAACAGAACAAAAAGCCAAAGGTTTTGCAGAAATGAATTCAACCTAACTGGGTTATGCAGTCGCAGCTCCTGTCCTCTTGCGAACACCCAGTATGCTACAATTAGAGAAGAGCAAGGAATCATTTATCTGTATATGCGTACTGCTGAAAGGTGTGTTGATTGCCTCAATGGTTAATGGAGTACAGTACAGTAGGGTATTTTATTTCCTTTGTTTTTCTCTGGTGGCATATACTGTAGTTTTATTTTTATCTATAATGTATGCATGACTGTCTGTCTAGCCATTCTATCTCTGCACATACAGTTTTGTAAGTTAGGTACTGATATCAAAATGCTAAGAAGATATTTCTGGTTTAGAATATGCAGTAATTCTCCAGATTTAGGTATACATTTCTGAAACAGTTAATGGTTTACAGTACAGTATTCTAATATTTATATTGAAAATGCTAGTTGCCAAATCTGTGCATAATAAGAGTGAATATAAAGTTAGGTAGGAGTGAGATATACTTGATGAAATATAAGTAATGAAAAATAAGATAACCTTGGCAGCATCAAATGCCATATCTGCAAGTTCGTGACATCAATATAGGCTTGCATGCCACAAGAAGCAAAAGTTTAGTTGTTGAAATAGCCACCATTTAACCTTTAAACGGTCCAAACGTATATATACGTTCACTTGCGCACCACCCCAAATGTTTTGACAAAAAAAATAGTTTTCTTTTATAGAAAAAAAGAGCACAAGGCACTAAGTGGTCCCAGATTTTTTTAATATGGTGCACACCGAGTGTTAAAACCCATTCTATACTGACCAGGCATTTCAGGGCAATCGTGCCAAATTTGGAGGCAGGAAAATTAAACTGTATACAGTGGACCCCCGCATAACGATTTTAATCCGTGCAAGAGGGGTAATTGTTATGCGAAATAATCGGTATGTGAATGAATTTTCCCATAAGAAATAATGGAAATAAAATTAATCCGTGCAAGACACCCAAAAGTATGAAAAAAAAAATTTTTTACCACATGAAATATACATTTTCCCACACACAAAGAGAAGGATACATGCACAATAGTAGAGTAGTACATGCACAGTATATATTGTGCATGTACTAGTCTACTAAATGAAGAATAAATGACACTTACCTTTATTGAAGATGCAGCAATGACTGATGAGACACTGTGTCCTGGGAGTGCCTTTTCCTCCTGAGTACTGTAGGTCCTGTTTGGCATTTTCTTCCAGAACAGGCCTTATCACACTGTGTATGCCACTACGATTCTTAAATCTCTCAAACCAACCTTTGCTGGCTTTAAATTCACCAATACAAGCACTAGTTCCAGGCATTTTTCCCTGTTCACCTGGGTGTTAGTCGACTTGTGTGGGTTGCATCCTGGGAGACAAGATTAAGGACCCCAATGGAAATAAGTTAGACAGTCTTCGATGACACTGACTTTTTTGGGTTATCCTGGGTGGCAAATCCTCTGGGGTTAATTGTTTCTTGGTATTCTCAATAAGCCACACCAACAACGGTGCTACAGCAGCAGCAGCAGCTGACGGTGGTACAGCAGCAACAGACGATGCTACAGCAGCAGCAGACGATGCTACAGCAGCAACAGACGATGTTACAGCAGCAGCAGACGATGCTACAGCAGCAGCAGACGATGCTACAGCAGCAGCAGACGATGCTACAGCAGCAGCAGACGATGCTACAGCAGCAACAGACGATGTTACAGCAGCAGCAGACGATGCTACAGCAGCAGCAGACGATGCTACAGCAGCAGCAGACGATGCTACAGCAGCAGCAAACGATGCTACAGCAGCAGCAGCAGCTGATGGTGGTACAGCAGCAACAGACGATGCTACAGCAGCAGCTGACGGTGGTACAGCAGCAACAGGCGATGCTACAGCAGCAGCTGACGGTGGTACAGCAGCAACAGACGATGCTACAGCAGCAACAGACGATGTTACAGCAGCAGCAGACGATGCTACAGCAGCAGCAGCAGCTGACAGTGCAGCAGCAGCAGCAGCTGTACCACCAATAGTAGCGATGGTTGATTGGGGTTTATTATACAACCTGGCCAGCTCGGAGACACGCACTCCACTTTCATACTTATCAATGATCTTTTTCTTCATCTCTATTGTAATTCTCACCCTTATTGCTGTAGGGTTGGCACTAGAAGCTTTCTTGGGGCCCATGGTCACTTATTTTCCAGAAAAAGCACCGAAAACACTGTAATAATACGAAATATTCCGATTGTATGCTTGGATGTTACCGCGGAGGCTGGCTGGTAAACAATGCCACCGGCGGAACATGTGAGCGTGGCTCAGGCCGCACATTGGACGCGTCTCGGACGAAAATCGGTGAGCGGGTTTTTAAGCGGTATGTGAGGCAAAATTTTGGCGATTAAAGCAAGCGGTATGCGGATTAATCGCTATGTGATGCCATCGGTATGCGGGGGTCCACTGTATATACGTTTGGGCGCTACACGTAAGAACGTACATATACATTTGGACTGTTTAGGGGTTAAGCCTAGCCTCAGGCTAGGTTTCTAGAATAGAAAACTGGAAAATGGTCACAGGTAACCCACAAGTCTTCAAAATATATATTTTTGGCCTGTACATACATTGGTTTCAGTATCTTCTACCTTCATACTTCGCATTTGAATTTAATCTGTTAAGATTTACTGGCAACTCATTATTTTAATTGATTAATAATGTAACATTGATGACAGCTTCAACTATGTCTGACTTTGATGATAGCTTGAATAATCATGTGATACTTTAATTACAGCTTAAAATCATGTACCATCATAACATAACTAATATTCACCCATTTTGTACTTTTTTTATTAGTGCTGCTATTAATGTCATAATTTTAAAGATGTAATGTTCCATAAAGTTTCTGTTCTCCAGGGCATTTTTCCCAGCAAGGCAATGGGAAAAAGTAAAACTATCACGGAACTTTGTTAAAGCATTGCAACAGATTGATGAAAATCTGGTATTTTGGAAGAAATATTTTCGTCAAAAATGTCGTCAACGTCTGCTCAAGATCACACAGTACCTGACGCGTATGAGGAATCTTAAACTAAGAAGACAGTAAGTCTCATTATTAGCTAGGTACTATTCTAACTTATATTTTTTGTTTATAACTCAAACTTTATACCTCAGTTAGTCTGGAGTGAGTAAAAACAAGTGATTTTGAGATTTGTTGTTCTGCCGGAGTGTGCAAGCTAACATTTATGAAAGGTATAATGGAAATTGGTTATCCTAACTCGAGTTCTGAAGGTGGGAAGTACAGTACTTGAGCTCGGGTGGATAGGTGGGTGAGAATGTTGCAATTCAGAGGGTCATTTGAATTGTCATGTCCTCTCACTTCTGAAAAGATAGCTGTTGAATGAGTGATGGTAAATGTATTTCCTTCTTTGGGTCACCCTGCCTTGGTGGAAAACTTCTAATGTATGGTAGTATATGCTTATGAATTTTTGTACTGTAAATGTTACTTAGCAATATTATTATTGTAATCAGCGCTGCTTCTTAGCAATAGCTTGTATTCATTTGCTTAGTGTACAAAATACATCTGTGGTATATACATTATACAGGGATTTGCATGGATTAAGCTCAGTTATTTTAAGAGATATCAATAGTTCAGTTATAATTGGTTTAATATTTATAGTTCATACAAATATCTATCTGCATTGATAGATATTGCAAATGTATGTTGTTTCAGCCATAAGAGGGCTTACCAAGTACAGGAAATATGCAAAAGATAATCCATCAGGTGTAGAAGAGGTGGTATCAGGTGAGGATGAGATGAAGTATGTTGGATCTGAGGTCAGGTGACATTAAGTAAGGTTTTGGCTAGGGTAGGTCAGGCCCTGATAGTCTGTGCACAATAGGATAACATGTTTCAGAAAAGGCTCTCCCTATGTAGGTAGTTTTGTTTGGCAAGACAGTAATTACTGCTGCAGATCCTGAGGGCACATAAAGAAACCTATGGCCACGTATTTCCATTTGGATCTTTAGGTCCTTCACTTGGAAGCAGTCCACATTAGTTAAAACTTTTAAGTATCTTGTGTTTATTGCTAGGTGAACATGGGCAGAAGATGCTAGGAGACCTAATGTACCCATATTTCTCACTTCAATCATGACTGAATTAGGGTTCATTCATTTGTGAACAAATGCTCTACCATTGAGGTGCAAGGTACCCTATTGAAGATCTTATGATTAAGTACTGTACTTGACAACCTGTTTCTTATAATTTTATCATAATAAACAGGTCATAGGCTATTGTTAGAAATAAGTAATATTTATTTATTTATTTATTTATTTATTATAAATTTGTGCACACATACAGAGGTACAAAAAAAATACAGATAAGAGCAGTATGCCAAAGCCACTTATACTATGCATAGCATTACGGGCTGGCTTAAAATTAACTTAAGATTAACTAAGCAATGATGAAGTCAGTGATAAAACATTAATGTAAACAGAATACTATAAAGCACAAGTGAGTATTACAAAGACAGGTCATATGAAGGATTCTGTTAGGTAGTGTATTTAAAAAATAATAAAGTTAGATTCGGTTTTAGGTTTAACATTTATGTGATATAATTTTAGTAAAATAACAACTCTTTCAACAAGAATGTCATTAAAATAAATTCATTGGCACCACCCACATTCTTTATCTCCCCATTTCCCTTCCTTTGACTCCTTCCCTTTTCTTTCAACTCCCTCAACATTTCTCCCATATACTGTATTTAATAATTTTAATATTTTTTGTATAAAAACTTTGAGAAGTAAATTTATACATTTTATTGAAGTAAAACAATAATATTAGAGGCATGGTCTGAGATGGTTGCAGGGGCAATAATCCCTGGAACCCTCTATACTTAATCTACAGGTAGGTCTGTGGATAGGGTCTTCAAATATCTTATTAAGTACTATGTAACATATATTTGCTCTGTGAGATCTTGTGAAAAAAAACTACTTGCTTTAGCTAAAACTACAAGATACATAGTAATAGCTTTCATTATATTTTTATTCACAGAAAGAAATTGATTCCTATAAGGAGAAAAATTGATTTGCGAATCAAAAGACGTGAGGAAAAAGCTCTTATTGCAGCCAGGATTGACAATGCAATTGAAAAACAACTTCTACAGAGACTTAAAGATGGAACCGTAAGTATGAAACTATTGAATAATTTATGAAATACAGTTCTTATTAATAGAAAAAATACATTTGGGCAGAACCAGAGACAACTTTGCTGAACAAAGTAAGTCACAGCAAGGTGATATTAAGAAAATTCTAGCGAGAGTTAAACATGTGCCAATGACCTAGTGGTAAAGATGTATAAAAGTGTTTGAGAAGGTACATAATGACCAGTAGATAGGAAAAAAAATACAAAGAAATAGCTGTTGAAAAGGAGGGGAGGAGGAAATGTATTAAGATTGCCAAGAGAATGATTGTGAATTTTATGCACAGTAGAGGATGTGTAGTCAGTATAGGTATTGATTTTTGTTTTTAACACATCGGCCATTTCCCACTGAGGCAGGGTGATTCAAAAAGATAGAAAAAACTTTCATCATCATTCAACACTTTCATCATCACTCATATATAATCGCTGTCTTTGCAGAGGTGCTCAGATATGACAGTTTAGATGTCCCTCCAAACTGCCAATATCCTAAACCCCTACTTTAAAGTGCAAGTATTGTACTTCCTATTTCCAGGACTCAAGTCCGGCTAACTGGTTTCCCTGAATCCCTTCACAAAATATTACCCTGCTCACACTCCAACAGCTCGTCAGGTCCCAAATGCCATTCATCTCCATTCACTCATATCCAACATGTTCACGCATGCTTACTGGAAGTCCAAGCCCCTTACCCACAAAATCTCCTTTACCCCCTCCCTCCAACCTTTTTGGGGACGACTTCTACCCTGCCTTCCTTCCCCTACAGATTTATATGGTCTCCAAGCCATTCTACTTTGTTCCATTCTCTCTAAATGACCAAATCACCTCAACAGCTCCTCTTCAGCCCTCTGACTAATACTTTTATTAACTCCACACCTACTCCAAATTTCCACACTACGAATTCTCTGCATAACATTTACACCACACTTTGCCCTTAGACAGGACATCTCCACTGCCTCCTCGCTGCAGCATTTACAGCCCATGCTTCACACCCATACAAGAGTGTTGGTACCAATATACTCTTGTACATTTCCTTCTTAACCTCGATGGATAACTTTTTTGGTCACCACAGATACCTCTATGCACCACTCACCTTTTTTCCTTCATCAGTTCTGTGGTTAATCTCATCCTTCATAAACCCATCCGCTGACAAGTCAACTCCCAAATATCTGAAAACATTCACTTCTTCCATTCTCCCTCCCTCCAATGTGATATCCAATTTTTCTTTATCTAAATCATTTGATACCTTCATCACCTTGCTCTTATCTATGTTCGCTTTCACTTTCTACCTTTACACACCCTCCCAAACTCGTCCACTAACCTTCGCACCTTTTCTTTAGAATCCCCCAAAAGCACAGTATTATCAGCAAAGAGTAACTGTGTCAACTCCCATTTTGTATTTGATACCCCATAATTTAATCCCACCCCTCCCCCCAACACTCTAGCATTTACTTCTTTTACAACCCCATCTATAAAAATGTTAAACAACTATGGTGACATTACACATCCTTGTCTGAGACCTACTTCAACTGGGAAATAATCTCCCTCTCTCCAACACAGCTTAACCTGAGCCTCACTATTCTCATAAAAACTCTTTACAGCATTTAATAACTTACTACCTATTCCATATGCTTACAACATCTGCCACATTGCTTCCCTATCCACTCTGTCATATGCCTTTTCAAAATTCATAAATGCAGTGAAAACTTCCCTACCTTTATCAAAGTACTGTTCACATATATGGCTTCAGTGTAAATGCTTGATCTACACATTCCTGACCCATTCTAAAGCCTCCTTGCTCATCTGCAATCCTGCTTTCTGTCTTACCTCTAATTCTTTCAGTAATAACCCTACCATACACTTTACCTGTTTTACTCAGTAAACTTATTCCTCTATAATTTTTACAATCTCTCTTTTTTCCCACTTCCCTTTATATAAAGAAACCATAGATGCTCTCTGCCAATCCCTAGGTACCTTCCCCTCTTTCATACAGTTTTTTTTTTTTCTTCAACAAGTCGGCCGTCTCCCACTGAGGCAGGGTGACCCAAAAAGAAAGAAAATCCCCAAAAAGAAAATACTTTCATCATCATTCAACACTTTCACCTCACTCACACATAATCACTGTTTTTGCAGAAGTGCCCAGAATACAACAGTTTAGAAGTACATTCTTTCTTTCAACACACCGGCCGTATCCCACCAAGGCAGGGTGGCCCAAAAAGAAAAACAAAAGTTTCTCTTAAATTTAGTAATTTATACGGGAGAAGGGGTTACTAGTCCCTTGCTCCCGGCATTTTAGTCGCCTCTTACAACACTCATGGCTTACGGAGGAAGAATTCTGTTCCACTTCCCCATGGAGTTTAGAAGTACATTTTTTGTTTTTTTTTTCAACAAGTTGGCCGTCTCCCACTGAGGCAGGGTGACCCAAAAAAGAAAGAAAATCCCCAAAAAGAAAATGCTTTCATCATCATTCAGCACTTTCACCACACTCACACATAATCACTGTTTTTGCAGAGGTGCTCAGAATACAACAGTTTAAAAGCATATACGTATAAAGATACACAACATATCCCTCCAAACTGCCAATATCCCAAACCTCTCCTTTAGAGTGCAGGCATTGTCCTTCCCATTTCCAGGACTCAAGTCCAGTTATTTAAAATAACCAGTTTCCCTGAATCCGTTCACTAAATATTACCTTGCTCACATTCCAACAGCTTGTCAGGTCCCAAATACCATTTGTCTCCATTCACTACTATCTAACAAGCTCATGCACACTTGCTGAAAGTCCAAACCCCTCATCCACAACACCTCCTTTACCCCCTTCCTCCAACCTTTTCGAGGACGACCCCTACCCCGCCTTCCTTCCCCTACAGATTTATACACTCTCCATGTCATTCTGCTTTGATCCATTCTCTCTAAATGACCAAATCACCTCAACAAACCCTCTTCAGCCCTCTGACTAATACTTTTATTAACTCCACACCTTCTCCTAATTTCCACACTCCGAATTTTCTGCATAATATTTACACCACACATTGCCCTTAGACAGGACATCTCCACTGCCTCCAACCACCTCCTTGCTGCAGCATTTACAACCCAAGCTTCACATCCATATAAAAGTTATTAAACAGTTATTAAACAAAAATACCAACCACTCCAACACTATATACCCCCTTGCTTTTAACATTTGTCATGATCCTGTCAGTTCCAGCTGCTCTACTTCCTTTCATTCTATGTAATGCCTCACGCACCTCCCAGACACTCACATCTTGCTCTTCTTCATTCCTAAAAGATGTTATACCTCCCTGGCCAGTGCATGAAATTACTGCATTCCTTTCTTCATCGGCTTTTAACCCTTTGAAGGTCGGTCACGTACTAGTACGTCATTGCAGCCAGGGTCGGTCACATACTATATATATATTATCACACCGGCCGATTCCCACCAAGGCAGGGTGGCCCGAAAAAGAAAAACTTTCACCATCATTCACTCCATCACTGTCTTGCCAGAAGGGTGCTTTACACTACAGTTTTTAAACTGCAACATTAACACCCCTCTTTCAGAGTGCAGGCACTGTACTTCCCATCTCCAGGACTCAAGTCCGGCCTGCCGGTTTCCCTGAATCCCTTCATAAATGTTACTTTGCTCACACTCCAACAGCACGTCAAGTATTAAAAACCATTTGTCTCCATTCACTCCTATCAAACACGCTCACGCATGCCTGCTGGAAGTCCAAGCCCCTCGCACACAAAACCTCCTTTACCCCCTCCCTCCAACCCTTCCTAGGCCGACCCCTACCCCGCCTTCCTTCCACTACAGACTGATACACTCTTGAAGTCATTCTGTTTCGCTCCATTCTCTCTACATGTCCGAACCACCTCAACAACCCTTCCTCAGCCCTCTGGACAACAGTTTTGGTAATCCCGCACCTCCTCCTAACTTCCAAACTACGAATTCTCTGCATTATATTCACACCACAACATTGCCCTCAGACATGACATCTCCACTGCCTCCAGCCTTCTCCTCGCTGCAACATTCATCACCCACGCTTCACACCCATATAAGAGCGTTGGTAAAACTATACTCTCATACATTCCCCTCTTTGCCTCCAAGGACAAAGTTCTTTGTCTCCACAGACTCCTAAGTGCACCACTCACTCTTTTTCCCTCATCAATTCTATGATTCACCTCATCTTTCATAGACCCATCCGCTGACACGTCCACTCCCAAATATCTGAATACGTTCACCTCCTCCATACTCTCTCCCTCCAATCTGATATTCAATCTTTCATCACCTAATCTTTTTGTTATCCTCATAACCTTACTCTTTCCTGTATTCACCTTTAATTTCCTTCTTTTGCACACCCTACCAAATTCATCCACCAATCTCTGCAACTTCTCTTCAGAATCTCCCAAGAGCACAGTGTCATCAGCAAAGAGCAGCTGTGACAACTCCCACTTTGTGTGTGATTCTTTATCTTTTAACTCCACGCCTCTTGCCAAGACCCTCGCATTTACTTCTCTTACAACCCCATCTATAAATATATTAAACAACCACGGTGACATCACACATCCTTGTCTAAGGCCTACTTTTACTGGGAAAAAATTTCCCTCTTTCCTACATACTCTAACTTGAGCCTCACTATCCTCGTAAAAACTCTTCACTGCTTTCAGTAACCTACCTCCTACACCATACACTTGCAACATCTGCCACATTGCCCCCCTATCCACCCTGTCATACGCCTTTTCCAAATCCATAAATGCCACAAACACCTCTTTAGCCTTATCCAAATACTGTTCACTTATATGTTTCACATACGTCACATACTAGTACGCATAAATTCTAGCACCTTCAGATTGAGCGGGAGAAAGCTGGTAGGCCTACATGTGAGAGAATGGGTCTGCGTGGTCAGTGTGTGCAGATGGAAAAATTTTGGGCACCCAGTGGAGCATTGTGGGAATGCCATTTTAGTTCACCTTGTCCACCATGCCTTG